GCAGAAGTATCAGTGTCAGTCCCCAGACTATCGTACCATTCATTCTCCCGCAGCCCCTTTTCTTCATCTCAGCTCGGGCAGGGGGGAAGGTCCAGCAGGGCACTGGTGATCTGGGCATCTGCTGGTGGTAATACCGATGTTGTTTAGGGTGACCTCTGCCAGAATCCACCATGAACACTGGCTGGGGTGAGTGGCCAAAGTTACCACTCATGTCTGCAGAGCCCAGAGGAGTGTGAGAAGGTGTGAGCAACGAGAGAGTGAGTGTATCTTGAGAAGGTTGTTGCTGAACATCAGTTTTTATAAAGGTCCTGCAGTGTGGTTAAGACTTCCCACCCACACTCGCACACACACACACACACACACACACACACACACACACAGGCAAGGTCTGTCTATCTCACTCATTCTCTGTCTCTGATCCTTTCTTTTTCTCATGCACACTGATGTATAAGGTGGACTATTATGATTTTTCTGGTCGGTGTATTAGCATTCGCATGCATTTGTAGCAAACCAACATGCATAAAGTCATATCTGAAAGGGGTATAATGATGACATCATGGACAGGAAACCATCTTGAGTCTTCTGTGCGCTTGCAGGCAATAACTGCTCTCGCAGTTATTAGTAACTGTAGCATACGAATAAAATATTTACAATATAAGCTTTACGATTTACTTCTTAAATAAACCCTTCAGCCCAAAATTACAGCTTTGTCATTTACATTTATCTTCACCCTCATGTAATTTAAAAACTAAACAAAAAAAGTGATTTTTTTTTTGTCTTTTTCACAAAATTATTAATAAACATTTGTCTGATTCATTAATGACAGGACCAGTGAATGCATGGGATCTTTTCAATATAACAGACTGAATTATTCAATCTCAAATTGGAGTAATATGGATTACATTTATGGTGCTTTTTAATATTTGCAGCCTAACCAGCCCTAACAAACTATGACACTGTTCGAATAAGACCTGTGTGAATATTCTTTAAAATTAATCTTTTGTTCCACAGAAGTAAGGAAGTAATGAATAACTGTAATTTTGGAGAGAACTGTGCCTTTCCTTGGCAACAGTTTGGTTTGAGCATTTGATAAAAGCCAAAACCTTTAGTGCATTTTTTTCATGCATTCAATCACATTCATCTATATGTCCATTAATGCACTAAAACAAATCAAAACTTGCTTTCCTGTAAGTTTCAGGCTCTTACATAGGTCAGTGTGGCATGTAATCTGCATAAGAGGCGAAGGATTGCTTGTGACCTAGAAAGAGTTCTTCAGAAGGGCCACGTCTTTTTAAAGACCACCAGCATCCTGCCAGCCATCACATAACGTACGAAGGTTGACTGAGAATAGAATCTTTAGAGCAAGTTGTCAAAAGGGTTACTTTGATTGTGACACGGCCTTCTGTGTCAAACCCACCACTCATTCACAGTCTGATGGTGTGACATGCTATACTCCATTTAAACTATTTTACACAGCAGTTGCTAATCCTGCTATTGTTATGCATAACTATATCCATTTAATATTTAACATTTGTCCATTTAACAATTAATTGAAGGAATTTTTTTTTCATTAGATAGATATTAGAAATGGTTAAACTAGAAATGGTGACTAATGGTATTTTTCTACATTATGTTCACTTGCAACATTTTTTTTTTATGTCTATAGGCACAAACCTATAGACTCAACACGTAATAATCCACATGTGCATGACGTCACTGTTTTCCCAAATTAACTTACAGGGAGACGATAATGTTATATTTTTAAAAAACTTGCACTTTGAAACCCGTTTTCAAAAGTTTGTGTTATGTAAATAAGTGACCAGAATGCATTAAAGGTTTTCCGGTTTAAGTTGAAAACTGTCGTGCAAACGCCCCCTTAGAGGCTCTGTATTAATACAACTGAAAATGTGCCAAACCCTGAACCATTTACTTTCAATAATAATATGCATCAAGACCTATCAAATAAAAATCTCATAAGCTATCTAACCATTAAAGACTTTTGCGTGAGTGTTTGTAAACAGTGATGCAGCAGAAAATTAGTTTCAGTAAACCCAATCTCACATAACACTAAAGAACAGGAGCTGCCACATGAAACGGTCTGTCTGTGCATATGAACGTGTGCGAACGCTTTCGATCCTGCAGCATGCAATCTCAGGGGTCTGCATGAGAATGGTTAGGGCTGTGATAGTGAGATGAATAATGTGGTTGAAACCAAGCGGGGGAGGAAAAGGCATCACCCTTACCTGCTGCATGTCATCGTCGTTAGGCCTTCCTGGAAAAATCAGCCGTTTTTGTCAGTAGCTTGGCCTCCCTCTCATATACCCATTTCTCAGGCTGTTCATGATGAAGAATGTTAAAGCATTAGTATTGTAATAAATTACACAACATGTACCCTTTTGTGTTCCTTTTCCCCCAAAGTGCTCCCTCTTCCCACTGTTTTAAGTCCTTGGATATGTATCGCCTGTTTGCATTCGAGGAGTTTCAGCTGCTGCAGTGTAAGCTCCCCAACGGCAGAAACTTGCATTTCTGGAGTTTGGAGTTCTGAATTTATCAGTCATCTGAGTGGAGATGCCACAAAAATCATCAAATGGAATATTGTGTTCATATTGCACACATGATGCTGCAAAAGCCAGTAATTAAATAATTTACCATAAATGTTGAAGTTTAATGTTTGCTTCAAACAAATGCACTTAGTTATAGAATTTGGGGAAATATTTTAAACTCAAAACTGTTATAATAGAATTATTTTATAAAAATATAAAATCAAATATCTAACCTTAATATCTAAACTTTAACTGAAAGTTAATAAAATATTAAAAATTATTTCTGCCAAGCCAACATCCCCCATTTTCAGTATAACTTGGTGTACTAGAGTAACTAAAAATAAAACTGAAATAAAATTGAATAAACAATTATATGGACTAAAATTAAAATGAAAGCAAAATAGAAAGATAACAACTAATTCGAAATAATTCTAAAAATCTATAATACCTCAATGACACTAAAATAACACTGTTTAGTGCTTTTTTTTTATTTGTGATTGCTATTTTAATGTTCATAACTTGATTGAAGATGATGAGGATTTCCAAATGCTATATGGTTTATATTGATTCATTTTCATATTTGTACTGGGTAAAATACATGAGTTAAGGTTAGGTTAAGGTGGTTCAAGGTTAGTACCTAATTATTACCACATTTTTGTCATTAATTTGATAAGTACATACATGAGGAACAGGACTGTCAAATAAAGTGTGACCAAATTTTATTAAGCTTTAAAAGCAACTATAATTGAATATTGAATTGAATGAGTCTGATTTACTAAGCATGTTTCAATAATGTTGAAATATGTGTTTAAATACATGTGTCATGTCCAATCATTGAAGCATTGTGGTACATTTGAAATGTAAACTGCAAGTAAAGCCTTTTCCAAGGCATTGCAATGTCACGGATGAGAAGAAAGCCAAAAAAATTTTGGTTGTAAATTCCGCAGAGGAAATATTTGCTTATTTGACAATTGACGTGTGTAGTAGTTGCATCAGTTTCCTTACTTCACCTCGCAGGTATGGGAAACACTGTCTGCAGTGTGAGCAAACATTGCTAATGGTGCTAGAATTCACACAAGCATATTCTGAATGAGCAAGACATCACCACCGCTGCTTGGTAACAATGGTTTTCTCTTGCTCAGTTTCCCAGAAGTGTTGCCTTGCTAAGCAATTCTTACTGCTGATGTACGAGGGGTTTTGGGGTCGAACCGTGGGCCGCAGCATGAAGCCTGTTACCAAACTGAAGGAAAAATTATGTATTTTTTGGTGAACGCAGACATCTTTCTGTCTCTCTCTGACTCAGCATCTTTGCACATACTGAACTTTTAAAAGTCTCGCAGTCATTTTAATCAGGCCTCTTGTGGTGCACGCATTATCAAAACTCATGTCAATCTGAAACTTTGGGGTTTGTATAGCAATACTCTCACATCAATGGTTCTGTGCACTTTTAAGTTCATCAAAGTAAATTTTTCAGCAAATAGTATTCTTGAATTGACTACATGGTGCTTTAATGATTAAAAACAAAAGCCGTTGAACCATTACTTTAACAGGTCTTCAGATCAGTGTTTTGTTTTCTGTAATGTTTAAAACACCAGTACATCACTGATTTCGTCAAGTACAAGTGAATAAATTGTAAACAGAATGTTTGTTGTCCCTTAAAATGTGGCATCAACCTGTAAAAAAAAAAACCTTTGTGGTTGAAATTGAAACTTTATACATACTGAAGATGTACTTATCAGATAAACGTATGTAACAGTAAACACTTCATATTTTGTTTTTGGTAAGTAATCACTAATATCCTATTCAGAATTCTACTCTAACCACACCTCAACCATTTCCGTTCTCTTCTTAACTCTGCTTAACACATTCATAACTGGAATAAACTAGGTTAAGACAAATAGTATAAACACAAACACAGGTGATTTACAGCTTTCAAGGTTCACTCGAAAATGTTTTACTTTCAAGTTTCACTTTCATGCATCAGATATTATATTTTGAATATCAGATGTTACATTTTAAAGGGATAGTTTGCCCAAACATGAAAATTCTGTCATCATTCACTCACCCTTGTGTCGTTCCAAACCCATAAGTTCATCTTCAAAACACAAACTAAGATATTTGTAATGAAACTTAAAGGGGTCATATGATGCGATTTCAAATTTTCCTTTCTAAACCGCATAAACACATTTCATTACACCAAATACACAAAATAATGTTCTTTTTAGCAACATCATATGACCCTTTAAGAGGTTTCTGTCTCTCCATTTAAGACCAGGTAACCAAAGCATAAAAAGGTCTTTAAAAAGTTATAAAGGCATCATAAAGTCAATCCATATCAATTTAGAGTTTTAATCCAAGTTCTCTGAAGAGACACATTTTTTTTTATTTGATGAACAGTTTATTTAGGCTTTTATTTGCATATAAACATACATATAGCAAATCCCATATGATAAACATGGACTTTTGTGTGTCACATGCTAAAACAAACCTCACTGGTTCTTGTGTGTGCAAATAAATCTGTTCCAACAATAAAAAGACTTGAATTAAGCCGGTCGATTCCAGTTTTGGTTACCTGGATTTTCAATGGAGGGACAGAAACCTTTCAGATTTCATTAAAAATATCCTCATTAGTGTTTTCGAAGATTATCTAAAGTCTTATGGGTTTGGAACGACACGAGGGTGAGTAAATGATGACAATTTACATTTTTGGATGAACTGTCCCTTTAAATGTGCAGAACCATGTATTTCACGGAAAACATAATAATAATAAAAAAAAACTATAAGGAATGTTTCATCAGCTAATGAGCATAATGATATTTAATAATTTCACAAACTGAAGTCTAAATGCATTTCACTCAACTATATCTCTTCATCTGAGGACGACGAGTAGCAGCCGAGTCCCAGTAAATGTTCACTTTTACTCTGGGCTGTTTCAGCACTGGATGGCTGACGTGTAGCTTCTTTTGCTGCTGTCTGTGCTAGCGGGAGGCTGTGGAGGTTGGGCAGGCCGGTGAGTAGCACTCGTGTCAGTGTACCCGTGTCCTGCTGCTGCCCGGCGAGAGCCACACGTGAACTGGCCACCGCCACAGCAAGTCGGGACTGATCGAAGCACAACGGGTGGTCCTGGTCTGGGAGGTCTGAGGCTCTGGTGGTAGCAGGAGCTGATGGGGTGGGTAGTTCTTGTATATTACTGTGAGATGTGCGGTTTCCTGCTTCCTCTGGGTTGGTGTCCTCATTAACATCCTCTTCTTCTCTGCTGGGGCCGCTTGGGCTGTGGAGGCACAGTTTTTTAGCTAAAAAAAAAAAAAACAGAATCATGACTACATTTAAATGCACATCATTTTCCTATTTAGGTCTATATTTTGGCTATATTAAGGTCTACAATAATTCTGATGTTTACATGGTTTACATGATCCACAGCTTCTTGAATATCCCTGCGTACATATAATCAGCATGGCATCATGACAATGTAGGTCAAGATGTTTCTTTTAAAGGAATAATCCACCCAAAAATAAAAAATTGCTCATTTACTCACCCTCAGGCCATCCAAGATGAAGAGTTCATCAGAACAGATTTGGAGAAATTTAGTGCAGTGAATGGGAGTCCAAACAGCTGATAAAAACATCACAATAATCCACAAATGTGACCCTGGACCACAAAACCAGTCTTAAGTCGCTGGGGTATATTTGTAGCAATAGCCAAAAATACATTGTATGGGTCAAAATTATTGATTTTTCTTTTATGCCAAAAATCATTAGGATATTAAGTAATGATAATGTTCCATGAAGACATTTTGTAAATCTCCTACCATAAATATATCAAAAATGTATTATGATTAGTAATATGCATTGCTAAGGACTTCATTTGGACAACTTTAAAGGCGATTTTACTCAATATTTAGATTTTTTTTTACACCCTCAGATTCCAGATATTCAAATAGTTGTATCTCGGCCAAATATCGTCCTAACAAACCATACATCAATGGAAAGCTTATTTATTCAGCTTTCGGATAATGTATAAATATCAAATTCAAAAAATGTACCCTTATTACTGGTTTTGTGGTCCACGGTCACAAATAATTCACACGACTCCAGTCCATCAGTTAATGTCTTGTGAAGTGAAAATCTGCAAGTTTGTAAGAAACAAATCCATCATCAAGACGTTTTTTTTATTTCAAACGAGTCCTCTATCCATAATATTTCTTTCTCCAGTAAAAAAAAAAAAGTTGTGTCGTCTGAATCAGAAGAGAAATATACACAGATCAAGCACCATTTATAAGCGAAAGCAGTCCAAAATATCTCTAAACAAATATGTCAGTGGATTTTGATGTGAGAGTACAACAAGGAATGGACTTTTTCCACTGGAGGAAGCGCTATTATGGATTATGGACTCAAGTCATATTTTAGCCAGAAGCAACAGTTTAATGAATGAATGAATGAATGAATTATGCATTTATTTTGTACACCCAAAGTGCTTTACAATCATGTGGGGGGGGTCTCTCCTCAACCACCACCAGTGTGCAGCATCCACTTGGATGATGCGACGGCAGCCACAGGACAACGGCGCCAGTGCGCTCACCACACACCAGCTACATGTGGAGAGGAGAGAGAGTCATAGAGCCAATCAAGTGGATGGTTTAAAGTTAAACTATTTGATTTGTTTCTTACAAACACACAGCAGCTTTTCACTTCACAAGACATTAACTGATGGTCTGGAGTTGTGTGGAATACTTGTGGATTATTCTGATGTTTTATCAGCTGTTTAGACTCTCATTATGACGGCACCCATTCACTGCAGAGGATCCATTGGTGAGCAAGTGCTAAATTTCTCCTCTGTTGAAGAAACTCATCTAGATTTTGGATGGCCCGAGGGTGAGTCAATTTTCCACAAATTTTCATTTTTGGGCGAACTATTCCTTTAAACAGGCAATGCTGGCATTGTCTAATAAAGACTGGTACTAAAATAGCATAAACTGACAGGTGTTTTGATTGCTGCCTGGATCCTGCCTCCTCTTGGCATATGCTCGAGGTTCCCAAGGCTTGTGTTTGCAGGTAGGGTCCAGGGAGCGTAGTTTCTTCAGGTAACGTTTGTATTCGGTCTCCAGTTCCTCAATATGCTGACGGAACTCATCTATCTTCCTCTCTGGGTAGTGAGATAACTGCGACTGCTGCAAAATACAGATGCTCAGATATAACTATTTGCAACTATTATCAGATATCAACAAATCGACGGATAAAAGTCTTCTCTTACCCAAATGTGTGAGACTCATGATCAAACAGAACATACATTCCACTTTTTGGTTTATGCATGACATGCAATGGATGCACAAGATCAGTATCAAAAACTGAGCTTGTTTTGGCCATGTATACTCACAAGTTTCATCTAATATAACTGGCATGATACAAACATATAGCAAGACATAGTTTAAGTACACTGGCATGACCCAGCTGATGGGTCATTCTGCTAGTTTAACTGTAAGGCTTCAAGCTTATTACCATGTCAGGAGTTAACCTCTTATCTGGTCATCATATCATAGGCCTGAATCTGATGAAAATAAGCACAGTTTTAGCTTGGTCTCTCAGCCTGACCAGTTGAAAAGGGCCCCAAACCCTTCAAAACCAGCCAACACACCCACCTAACCAGGACGGGAGACCAGCAAACTAGCAGAGCTGGGTAGATTACTTACAAATTGTAATCCATTACTGATTCCAAATTACATGACATAAATTGTAGTTAGAAACGTAAACCATTACATTACACATTTCAGGTAATATAATCAGACTACTTTTTGATTACTTTTGACCTAACTTGTTTATCACATTGATTTAAATAGGATAATCTTGTACCATATTGATATAAAAATACAAAGAGTAAGAAGATAATTCGTTGTAATTAACAACAAAGTGCATTAAACGTTATATTACGCCAAGGTTTCCCAAACTGGGGTTTGTAAAGGTACTGCAGAGAATTTGCGAGTTTAATGAAAATGTAATCATTAATTAAATCATAAAAATGTCAAATTAAAATAAATCATTGTAAAATAACATAAATCGAAAAATAAAACAATGAATTGTTTTATTTGTTTACCTGCATGTCATGTGACCATTAACCAAAGTCAGAGAACTGTGGACATGCAAATGTGATACTTAATTATTAAATTTATTTTAAAGTTTCAGGGGTACTTCATATTAGGTTAAAGAGGTTCAGATGACAAAAAAGTTTGGGAATGCCTGCATTACATGTAAATAAGAAATAATGTGAATTTGTGCATTTTATTGCTTGAAAGACAAAAGCCTTCCAGAGACATTGTAATAGATGGTGAAATAACCAACTGAGTGATCATTCAAATGAACATTAATGTGTTCATCAGTAGTTGATGCAATGTTGAAACACCTAATATGATTTTTGTAAATCCAGTGGTCAAATGTCACATGCTGTGTAGCCACCTGACTAGTGAACTTTGTGTGAATGTCCACAAAACTGGAAAACTTTCTGAGTGTATATAAGCAGTAGGTTATTTTAAAAAGGAACATTTAAAAGATGAAAAAGAGGAATTGGGGATGATCAATAAATTATGAATAATTTATTGCTATTGTGTAATCATGTAATCAATAAAAAAGTAACTGTAGTCAAATGTAATTTATTAATGTATTTCTCATTTTTAAAATATCTGTTCTGTTAAAATCTCAAGGGACTGCTGAGGCCGGTAAATACTACAAGAACAGCATTTACCCCCCAAACATTTATTCCAAATTCTAAAATAATTATTAATAATATTGTTAAGGAACCAGACTTGTTTAGAGGAATTGGAACCATATATATTTTTTTTAATATTCATGATTCTCATAGTTATTTTATATTTAAAAATAATTATGAATTTAATCCGTAAATATGCATATATTAATTGGAAATTAATTGTTGTTATTTAAAGTAAAGCACATTCTGTACGTTACAATGTTCAATGATTGAAAGTTGCAATGCTACCTCTGCAAAAAAAGCTTCATTTAATTTAAATGAAATTAAATTATTTAGACGTTTCGTGTATGTATTATAGATTTTTTTTTCCTTTCTTTTGTGCCTTGTGAAGTGTGGTTTCGTCCGATAAAGTGTATTCGCCGACAGATGGTAGCCTTCTATTTTCCTACTTTTTCCGTGTATGATCAGTACCTGCAGACAGTACTCTATCTCCTTCTTGATGCTCGGCATCCACTTCTTCACTGCTGCCACTGAGTTTAACGTTGCCTGCGTGTCAAAGGGTCCATTATTAAACAAGACAATGTTGTCATTTATGGCAAGCGGCCTCGTTGAAATGATAAAATACATGGCAACGAAAGAGATTTCTTACAAGCTTTGGCCTTGACACGTGGACATCTTTAATGCGACCCTCTGGAAACAGAACACAGATGCATTATGCCGCAAACTGACCGAGTGCAACAGAATGGGAGAACACGTTGGCTTTACGCAGGCATTTATAGCGACTGCATTATCCGTCGTTTCACATTAGGGTCAATTCACTTGGCGTAAACAAACCATAAATGCGTCTCATACCCTCTCTCTCTTTCTGGAGCCACAGTCTGTTGAGTCTGCCACACTGCTTCTCTTCGTTTCTCGCCATTCCTGAATCATTTCCATCAACACGGGGTCACGTGACACGGTATTTCTTCTTCTTCTTGTTGTTGTTGCTTTACGGCGGATCGCAGACGTATAAGTGCATTACCGCCACCTATCGCTCAAATGGACCATTGACACTATCTACAATCTCCTGATTAACCTACCAACCCACATACAAACACCCTTGATTCTTGTACCCGCTTAGAGTCTTCATAGAGCTTCATCCGGCGCTGCGTGTTCAGCTCCTCCGTCCACCCTCTTAAACGGCATTTGGAAAGAGAGAGAAAAAAAAAACACTTATACTTGTTTGTTCAAACCAGTTCTTCCCAAATACTGTAACAATGATTTAATGTTTCTTCCTGGATTTAATACATTCTTCATTATAAACTGCTCACCCTTATTCTCTAGTTCATCCTTCAACTCATTTCTTTCAACAGTATATTTCCTACAGTACATTATGTTCAACTGTTTCATTAACGTCACATACCTCACATAGTCCTGTTGGATGTTTACTTATTAAATGCATTGTAATGTTCAACCTTGTATGCCCCAATGGCAACCTTGTAATCATGTTCTCCTCAGTTCTGCTCCAACCTGATACTCTTCCCTTATCCACTGTTGATTGTATATGATACAAATGCCTACCTTTGGTATCTATGTCCCAATACTGCTGCCATCATTTCCAAATATCCATTTTGATAATTGATTTAATTTCTGACCTACTAAGAGGAATTTTAATATCAACTATTTCTCGTTCTATGGCCTTTTTTGCTAAATTATCTGCCTCTTCATTACCTCTCAACCCAATGTGAGCCGGTACCCACAGAAACTGAACTTTTATACTGTTTTGCTTAAGTGAATATAATTCTTGAAAAATCTCTATTATCATATCTTGCCTTGTTTCTGACTTCTGCTCATTCAAACTTATTAGGGCTGAACTTAAATCTGAACATATTACTGCCTTGGGTATTTTAACTTCACTAATCCACCTTATTGCCATAATTATTGCAAATATCTCTCCAGTGAACACTGATAAACCATCTGATATTCTACTGCTCTTATTTACTTTTAACTTCGGTATTACAAATGCAGAGCCCACATGACCTGTTTTTGTATCCTTTGAGGCATCTGTGAAAATGTGCATATATTCTCCATACCTTGACCCCATATATTCCCTTACATCACATACCTCTGTTTCGTAAGCCCTTTCCTTTTGCCTTCTTTCTAATAAACTAAGATCAGCTTTTGGTTGGGGCATAATCCACATTGGCACTGGATATCCTACCTCTTCCAGTCTCATATCTCTTACTAATTTCCCCACTCTCCAACCAAAACTATTACACTCTTTCTTCTTGTGTTCCCAACTAGGTCTTAACACTTTCTTTGTAGGGTGATTTCCACTCTGACCTCTTAAATTTGCCCAATAGGATTGTGGAGCGTTTCTTACTTCTCCAGTTTCGGCTCTTCGAGGAGAGATGGGAGAAATGCCATTACAGATAAGAAGACAACACTTAATAGTAACTGTTGTCTTCTTATCTGTAATGGCATTTCTCCCATCTCTACTTGAAGAGCTGAAACTGGAGAAGTTAGAAACGCTCCACAACAAATTCTTAGGGCTTGAGACTGAATTCTATCCAATTTAATGAAATTAGATTTATTTGCAGAGCCATATACTAAACAACCATAATCCATTAATAATAATAATAATAATAATAATAATTTTTAGTTGTCACAAGTACGGTTTGAGTAAGTATAATTATAAATGTTAAGTCAAACGTCCGATTATAGGCTATGCAAACGTGTGTTTTCTCTAAAAGTGGCGTTTTATATCAAACGTTTCAACAAAACCATCTTAAAGTAGACGTTTTGTGAATTCTGTCCCCAAAACTGACATTTCAAGGCATGAATGGATTAATGCTCAGTAGTTTTTTTTTTTTGTAGGCAAGACTTTAAGTTATGCCTTTACAGAAATTGTCTTCTAAAAAGAAATATAGCCTGAGAAATATGTATTAGAGTAAAACGTGTGACTAGCTAGCGCCGTTTTCCCATATTTACATCAGCTCTTCTGCTCTTTTGTGCATCTAACCTCAGAAATTGCATGTATTATATCATATATTTTAGATACTGTTAAAATGCGAAGTTCCTAAATACTGTGTTTGAGGGACACCTATTGACGAAACTACGAATTGCTTTATTAGATCAACGATAAGTATACAGTAGCCTACATTACTACCATTAAGTGTTAGGTAATACTAGTGTACGTTATGCTAATTATGACAGTTTCTGTTGTACTTTAAATGCAATGTTTGTAAAAATTAGTCTAATGATGCAGAAAAGTGAAAGCTGCTAGCTACTTATGACCTTCTGATAAACATATTTATGCTACAGTTTTGTATGTTTAGTTTTATTTTACAAGGAACATCTTCCTCTTTAGCAGGGTACTTATGTTCTGGTGAGCCTGTGTTTCCTCTGCCTCTGCCACCTGCAGGGCTGTTTTATTCACATTATTAGTTGCCTGTAGGTTCGCTCGTTCTCCATTTGTCCAGTTTATTAGTCTCTGTACTGTTCCAACATGCCCGTCACGGCAAGCGCAGTGCAGCGGTGTGTCTTTCTTGTTATCCATTGAGTTGATCTTCGCTCCGTTCTCCAGTAAAAGGCCCACCAGCAGCTCATGGCCATGCTCTGCAGCTAAATGCAGAGGAGTCCTCCTCCACACGTTCTTATCATCCACATTCTTGCTCTTACCAGATGCAAGAAGAACACCAGCTGCTCTTTCCTTCCCGTTTCGAGCAGTGTGATGCAGAGGAGAGCAGCCATCCATGTCCTTAGCTCCAACTTTAGCTTTACCAGCCAGCAGCACTGAAACTGCCTTAGTGTGTCCCTCCATTGCAGCCAGGTGCAGTGGGGTCTTCTTCTCTTTTTCAGTGGCATTGGCGTCACTCCCAGCAGCGAGCAGCAACTGTATGACGCTCACTTCACCTTGTGCTGCCGCACAGTGTAGTGCTGTTCTTCCCTGTTTGTCTTTGACATGGATGTCGGCCTTGCCCTCCAGCAGTTGGGCGACCGCTTCAGTGTGGCCGCTCTGGCTGGCGAGGTGCAGGGGAGTAAGCCCATCCTGGGTGACAGAGTTAATCTGAGCCCCCACACGCAACAACAGTGCCATCAACGCTGGCTGGTTATGTACTGCACTTAGATGGAGAGGGGTCTGATCTTTAGGGCCAGTGATATTGGGGTCTATGCCCTTATCCAACAATATCTGGGGCAGAACAGAAGATATCACATTTTGTATTAAAATAAATATCACTTAACATGTAGTTTAGTGTCCCAAAGGGCAATTTATTAGTCTAATTCTCTGTTTCAGGGCTTTTAAAAACTTTTTGATGCCCAGGATGATGCCCCCAAATATGATGACATCAGCTTTCATCACCCATAAAAATTGCATTTATTTTCTCCATATGCTTTAGATAATTCTTTAATGCACCCCTGCAAAGGACCCAAAATATAAAGGCAGCTGTATAATTTCATAAATAAAACACCTTCAAATTCTGTGAGAACCGTATTTATATATGTGATGTTATAAACATAACATGTTTTCTTTCTAAATTACAAACACATTATTTTGTGTTTGTTTGTTTGCCATTATAAAAAAAATATTAAAATATTATTCGGAAAATGTTAATCTTGTAAGTTGCAGCATTTCCCCCTACTAAGTAATAATAGATGTATACACCTTTAAAATAGTAAATACATAAAAATATCAATATGAAATCAAATAAATTATTTATTAACATATTTATTTTATTATATATACTAAATGTGTATTTAATTATGGTTTACTGACTTTATTAATAATTTTTTTTTTATTAATTAAAGACTAGGGCTGTCAATAGAATAAAATGATCATAATCAGTCTCTTGATTTCTGACCAGAAAGCAGAATAAAACAGTAAATATCAAATATCAAATCAGTATCAATATCAACTTCATTAAACAAAATAAATGAATTAATGAATAAATAAATAAATATTGCATTCAATTATTGAATTAATTAAAAGTTAACTCTGGGAGCCCTAAAAATAAATTTTTAAAATCTTATTGTCTATTTTTCCTCTAAAATCCTTCATGAACCCCAACACATTCCTCATGTGGACCCCACAACTCCATTTTGAATATCCATGCTCTACTCTAAATCTAATTTAGACTTGACTACTAGTTGTGAACAAACAATAGATGATAAATAATTATTTTAAATATGATAAAGCATTTATTTATTTATTTTATTTCTTTAATAACATGACATTTTTAAAAAGTAATTTACCTGTGCTATTTGCATACTGCCGCTTTGGATAGCCAAGTGAAGACCAGAGATCTGGTTTGGTAGTCTCTCATCCAGTCTGGCCTTTTTTGAGACCAGTACTTTGAAGGCCTCAGCATTTCCCAGCTCTGTGGCTAGAAGCATAGGTGTGTATCCAAGCTCATTACAACTATTAACATCCGCACCATGATCAATAAGCGCAGCCACGACCCCGTCCAAGTTCCTCCGTACCGCTTTAAAAAGAGCTGAGGTGATCTCATTCTGAGACATGGACTTCTGGACATACTTCAAAAACAGAGAGAGTAGAGACTTCCTGTTCAGCTCAAAAGCAGCATCCACAATCACAGGGTCCACCTGGGCTCCGGCCTTCAACAGCACGGCGGCGGTTTTCTCATTTCCATGGCGGACAGCGTGATAGAGAGCCGTCTTCCTTCGGCCATCTCTGGTATCTACTAAAGCGCCGTTTCGCAGAAGAACCTGTGCCAGTGTTGCGTCATCCTCAATGGCTGCCATGTGCAGAACTGTTGTCTGGTTCTTGAGGCTTTTCTTCTCCTCATGCACTAGAGCTTTGACCGTACTCTCGTGTCCATTTTGAGCAGCCAGATGCAAAGGAGTCTTTGACATTTGGTCAGTTGCATGGATGTCTGCACCAGCCTTCGCAAGGGCCAGAGCAACAGCAGTATGGCCTCGTTCTGACGCTCTGTGCAGGGCAGTACGACCCTCCCTGTCCTTAAGGTTCAGTTTCAACCCTTGTCTGAGCAGAAAGTACACAATTGCCTCCTTACCATGTTCAGCAGCGAGATGCAGCAGAGTATCAGTGGACGAGAGAGCAGTATTGACATCCAAACCTTTGAGCAGCTCCTGGAGGAGATATACATCACCTGAGGATATGGCTTTGAGGATGGCATCATGCTCACTTTCAGCTTTGGGGATTTGATTTATTTGTTCTGTTGAAGATGTAGCCTTATTTGTTATTGAATTCGGTTGGATTCTTTCAGGAGTAAGCTCCTTGTTGGATTTTGAGTATTTGACAAGACCTTGTTTGTCCTTCTCCAGCAGATATCCTATCAGCTGTCTCCGTGCATCTTTAATGCCCTCATTAACCCCTCCTACATAAGTTCTCATATGCTGGTAAAGGTCAGGCTCCACTCGTTTCAGACAAGGGTAGAAGAAGATACGGCAGGCGCGCTCTCCTCTCGAGATCAAGATGTTTAGCATCCTGGAGTTCTTTTCCTCTCGCACAGTGATGCTGGACATCAGTGCTCGGCTGTCGGGTTGAAGAACGCCATTTGAAATGAGGAGATCCAGCAAATCCTCTGTATTCAAAATGCCACTGACCAGCTCGTTTTTCTTCATCCGAATTACTTCGATCGCATAGGGATTGGTAAAGCTAGTTGAACCCATGTCAGCCTCTAAAGGAAAGCAGTGAGCTTCTGAAAACTGAAATGTGTGGACCTGACAAAGCAGAGCTGCTCCTAAAAGAACTTCATTCTCTTCATCACTAAGAACAAACTGTCTCTTAGCAACAAGATATAAAGTAAACAAAAGTAAAAATCAGAATTGCTATTTGTAACGTCCTGATATAAATTATTAATATTTAAAACCGTGAAGCAATAAAAAGCACATTGGTGATCTATTTTGGTAATTACATTTGAACATTTTTGATAAAATGAACCTGCTGCAGATGAATAGTCAATTTCTCTGTTTAGATTTCCTGCCTTATCTAATATTACAAGAAACTATACAACATGGATACTGTAACCATGACATGAATTGTCTTTTGTATTTGAGTTTATAGTGTTAGAACAACAGTGCCCCAGCAGTTTTTTCAGATATTACCACCCTTGTGAAAATGAAGTGAGCTTCATTGTATTTAATATGCACTTGTAATACACTCTAAAAAATGCTGGGTTGTTTCAACCCAATGTTGGGTCAAATATGGACTAACCCAACTGTTGGGTTAAAAAGTTAATTTAAAAATGTAACCAAAATTTAACCCAAAAGTTGGGTTAGTCCATATTTGACCCAACATTGGGTTGAAACAACCCAGCATTTTTTAGAGTGTATACTTCAAATTAATGAAATAAAAGGCCACCTAAGTGTACTTAAAGTACACTTTTAAATTATTATTTTTTTCATAATCCTTTGTGACTTTAAAGAAATGCACTTATTTTGATGTGTTGTCTAAGATACATTGGGTTAAATTTTGGTTACATTTTTAAATTAACTTTTAAACCCAACAGTTGGGTTAGTCCATATTTGACCCAACATTGGGTTGAAACAACCCAGCATTTTTTAGAGTGTATACTTCAAATTAATGAAATAAAAGGCCACCTAAGTGTACTTAAAGTACACTTTTAAATTATTATTTTTTTCATAATCCTTTGTGACTTTAAAGAAATGCACTTATTTTGATGTGTTGTCTAAGATACAAAAGCACTTGAAATATTAATATATTTTAAATGTACTAAATTGCAACTTCATCATTTATAAATATGTAACCACAAATATATTTACTTAGTCCTCCTACTTAAGTAGGTCAAAAAACACCTTCAGTTAATTGTATTTAATAGAAATGACTATAATTCATTTTCATTTATTGCAATTATATATAATATATAAATTATATATATTAAAATAATTATATATAATTATCTTATAATATTAGATTCAGTTCCCCCAAGGTATATTCTTGTAAAGTATTTTATTTCTGTAAAAAGTTATTTTTAAAAGTATGCTAAAATGTTTTTTTTTGTTTGTTTGTTTGTTTTTTTACAAGGGCAGAAGTTTATCTTTTTAAATTCTGCTACTTATGAGCAAATTGCAATACTTCTAAATGTTATTATTGCTATAAATGATACTTCTACTACACTAACAGGCTAATCTGACTGACACTTTTTCAAATATTGTACAAGGACCAAAAAAAAAGATCCTTTTCATGTTAAACTTATTGTCAAATTAAAACAAGTTCATTATGATTTTGTCATCTTAAAAGACAACATTTACTACGCATGACCACATGACATTGTGTAATATTTGTTCTGTAAATAGCATAAAGCAGGTCGCTTTCAGTGAAACATTTTTTTTTGTCAATAGAATATATGTAGTGCATTCTAGTAAAGTCCTTGCTTCACTTTGAGTTATTGCATTTTGATAATGCGCTGGATCATTGATCAACCCCCTCGTTCCCAAACTAAAAGTGCACTAAAGGTCTGTGTGTCAGTTTTATGGAGATTAGTCCGAGCCGAGGAGTTCCTCTTCCTGTAAGACACGCCCACTAGTTCAGATGACGTGGGTCTTCCGACCGCGCGCTTGCCTAATATGGACAGGTAGGTGCCGGTTTTCCGGTATGATGTCATCGTTTGCCTAGTTTTGGCAGTGAAATAAGAGGATCTAAAAGATGCTAAATATTAATCAGTGTTGGTGACCTGAATATGAAAATAGCGTTTTACTTGCCTCTTTTGTGTGTGGGGACACACGTAAAAAAGAAAGAAAAAGAAAATACAGGCTTGCTATCATAAGTGCGAATTAAAAACATTTCATAGGTATTTGACTAACGGAGAGATCGATTATGATCACTTTATGCATGTATATCATAGTCATTAATTTAAAATACGTTTTTTTTTTTAAAGATATTTTCGTTAAAAGTGATCATATAAATGCTGATACATTCACCCCCTGTAATGTGTTTTGTTGAAGGAAGACTGGTTTCTTTGGGCGTTTAGTCAAGCAGAAGTTACCAGTCTCTGAAAATCCCCATAACTGCTCTGAGCAGAATCCAAGAAACTGAAATCACAAACTTGTCATCTATCCAAGTGGCTGCTTCAGATTTACCGGATGCAAGCCGACGGCGCCCTCTACTGGTGCACAGAGGATTGCAGCTGAAAATTGCGTTTACTGAACACCTTTGTCGGCATACATGCACGAACCACAGAGAACTTTCTTTTTTTTATTTGACACAATGATTAGCCCATGATTAAAGCAATGCAATTTGTTTTAACAATGTACTACTACATTGAATAATTGTTTGTTTATTGCGGTGTTGCGATTGCATTTGAAAGTTAATCATTTCCCTGTTTTAATATATTTTATATAATTTGGATTTGACATTTCAACCAGTTCAGGTTCAGAATACGTATTGCCATATTTATTAGGCTACTATTGAATAACTATTATGGGTTTTTGACTATTATTGTTGTTTTTGACTTTTTTTTTTTTTACATCCTTTGCTTGTATTCAAACCTGTATGTGGACTGCCAAACAAGCGGTCTCTCCCAAAACATGTTTCTACAAGTTTGTCTTGGTGAACACACACACACACACACACACACACGCGCGCGCGCGCGTAAATGGGGACATTACATAGACGTCTAGTTTTTATATACAGATAGTTATACACTTTTTAACGTAAACCCACCCCTACCCCTACCCCTCACAGAAAGCTTTCTGCATTTTTACAATCTCAAAGATGGTGGTTCGGGGAGCCGACGTGACGTTGGGCATGTGCTGGTGATGCAGCTCGGCCAGTGCCCTCACGAAGCCATCCGCGAAGCCCTCCTGCTCGTCCGTCACGTTCCTGGGACACAGAAACTGGGTCGGAGTCGGCGTTGTAGTGATCAGGCCGTTGCTGGACTGGATGATGAGCCGCTCCAGCTCCGGCGAAGCCAGTTTGAGCAGCCCCACGTCGGGGGAGGTGAGGATGTCGTTGGCTTTGGCCCTCAGGTGGGGCTTCAGGTTGCCGGCGGGGTCGGTCAGATTCAGCGTCATGTTGTGTTTCAGAACCTTGTGGTTGTATCCAAAAGCAGCGCTGTCATGCTGAGAGAAAGCGCCGTTTAGAGAGTCATCGTAGAAAGTAGTTTCCATCTTGGTAGACATAGAAGAGAAAACGAAACGTTTTAGTTCGAAAGTAGTCTTTCACAAACTCAAGCACTAAAGCAAGTGTCCGCTTTCAGAAACAAGCGCCGCGCTCTCAGAGACAAAAGCGAGCAGAAGCGCAAAGTTCGTAAACTCCCCGTCCCGCGAGAAACTTACTGCGTAGAAGTGATCGCGCAGCGTCCCGAACGCTTCTTCTCGCGGACAGAACAATGATGTCATGCGCGCCGTCTCTTATTGGCTGGAGGCGATTTACTGGGCGTTCCACAATCTCAGATAAGGCGCGTTGCCTAGACGACCACCCAGAAGATTCTTCTTCTCGCGGTGGCTGATGGGATGAGGTAATGCTGTAAGTCGGAGAAGCGGTGCATTGTGGGATTACGTATTGTTTTTGAATATCTGGTTACCCGCTTAGCTGTTTTAGACCGTGGCAGTGGCGGGATACAAAGAAGCCGAGTTCTGTACAACGTGCTACTTTTATAACTCAAACTTCCACTTTAATAGTCGTCACGAGGTTTAGTTTGAGAAGAGGCAGCAAGTGCATGAAGAGTTGAGCAGTTTCACAAGACTCCTAATAACATGTAAACTGTCAGCATTCTCGGACAAGTTTTGATATAAATGGGAGTTGTTTAAATAGGTTAAAATACATTTTGTGGCGCCAAGGAACAGGGCAATAGTCTGGTGTTTTATGGCAAAGTGCATTTGCCCCGTCAGCGTCAGCCAATGGTTTTGAAAAGGGGCGTGTCTTATTGTGGAGCGACAGCGTGCCACGAGGTCCATCGGACGTCTCAGTGACAGTCTCTAGAGATCCTCTCAAAAGGACATACACCCACGTTAAACGTCACTGTTTAAACCACAACCACAAACTGATCGAAATCAACGTGACAATCACTAAGTGACCTTATATAATGATGCACTTTACTTTGGGATATTTTCTCTTGGTTTCTATGAGTTTTAAACCTATGCAAATATGTAATTATACGTTTATTTGCATTTAATGTTGCGATGGATATGTGTGGGTACGTTTGTATCTATAATTGTTGCCGTAAACTATTACATAAAAGTATCTCTGATTCTACAATTTTATGTAGGAAAATCATGAATAAATAAAGCAATCTGAGCAATACTACATCTGTAAAACAGGGATAAGATCGTTTTAATTGACAACCAGGACTTGTCGATGGTCTCTGGCACATTTCGCTTTGTTGCGACAGATCAAGTGCTCGAGCACGTAAACATGACATTAAGCGTCACTTTAGTAAACATATCCACTGTGCATTTAAAACTGCATTTACTACTACTACTACAATAAAGAGGAAAAAAAATTAACAAATGATTTTAGCTGCAATATGCAATATAACAAAGAGTGAAAAATTTAAGGGGGTCTGAATACTTTCCGTACCCACTGTATATATATTACAACATTTAATAGTCTTTGTCAATGTTAGTTAATAATAATACATTTGTTCATTGTTAGTTCATGTTAAGTAGTTAACTAATGTTAACAAATGGAACCTTATTGTAAAAAGTTACCAAGATTTGTGTACTGCTAATTATATAATTTAATGTTACATGGTGTATTGGAATACTCGATTGTAAATGGTCAGTCACGCCATTCTGCACTCTGACATTTCCTAACTGTCGTCCATGTATATCCAACCTAAACAAATCATACGAATGAGATTCTACAAATTCATACAAATTAGCCACGAATTTGCTGAAAATGAAAAATAGTTATGAATTGCCATAGGATTGTGTTGGTATATCAGACTGTTCATAACATATTTTGAAGACACAGGTGCTACTTTTATGTGTCTTGAATCACATAACGGACTTGCTCTGTCAGCTCTGACTAACTTTAGGCCTACATGTAATGTTGCAGTGTTCGTACATTATAATGGCCTGTTTTTTTTCTTAGCAGTTGCTTCAAGAGAATATTCAGGCAAGATTATATAATAGTTATTATTATCTTTATTTTATTATCTTTAGCATCAGAGCCGCTGTGCGTTTGGGTTTGTGAATCATGTTCTATCTGCCCGGTCATGTCCTCTGCCCTGTTGAGCCCTGCTTTGTTTTAATGGCAGTCTGTCCGATCCCTCATAAAAGCCCATTGTGGTCCCAGGCTTGTCACTGTGTGTCTGTAATTAGTCTTCTGTAGTTCATTGCCCTCGAGCCCATGGTCAGAAATCACCAGGGTCCTAATGGAGGGCTGGGCAAAGGTCACAGAGTAATCCTGTCATATCCAAGCCCATTGTCAGGAGTCCACAGCCATCTTAACAGCCATCTCCTGCCTCACAGTCAGAGTAAATCAAGGTACTGGCGCTAGCTGGACAGACTCAAAGAGCACACTGGACAGGTAAGCCTGTGGGGGTCGTAGGGCT